GTAAATATGTTCTTGTGCTCTTGCAGCGTGGAGGTGTCTCCTTGCCTAGAGCCCAGCTACTGCTTGCAAAAGACGAGGACAATGAAACTCAGCCTGCATGAAACAGAAGATGTGGGGCTTGTGAAATACATGCCCAAGTCTCTGCTGTTGCCTATCAACACATTTGCAGGCATCATCCAATGAAGAAAACGAGAAAAAGCTGGTGTGAGAGATGTGACATCGGGTCATCACGGAGGAGATGGAAAAAGAAAACACACTAAAAGCCACCAACAGTGATTTTACAACAGTTACGGTGTAAAAAGCTACAACAGCAGAAGTGGATAGAGCTCAGGGAGGACAGCTGGGCCCTGCTGAGGAGCAGCGATGGCCAGTGAACCCCTCCTGCCAAGGGGCAGAGCACTGCTGAAGAACTGACTTTTAACCTTTTGCACAAGTCAGGGAAAAACTTTGAGCTTCTTCATTTCAGGAAGACTGGAGAAAATACAGCTGAGGTGATGGCACTTGCTGTGCTTGTGGGTGACAGAGCAGTTGCTATCGGTAATATTTATTATGGTGATGTCTCAGGGCCCAGCAGGGGATCAGGGTCTGTTCTGCACAGCAAACTCTTCATTCTGGCACAGGGCGATGTATTTGGGCAAACCAGCAATTATTCCCCTGGCTGATTTGGGAAACCTCACTGTAAGCCTGACCATGACTGGGAGAGTGTGTGTGTTTAACGCAGCTTCTGCGGGAGCCAGTGGAAAACCTGCTGTTGTTTCAAAGGGGCCACACAAATTAACGATGAATGGTGTGAAACAGGGACGTGGGAAATCCGGTGCAATGTTTGGCAGCGATGAACAGGGCAAGAAGAGCTCAGGCTGCTGAGGCAGTGCTGTGGGATATGCTCGGCTGCGAAAGTGAAGAAGAAACCTTCTCTGAGCAAGCAATGGAGGCTGCAGAACAGCTCTTTGACATCTGCGCTGTACCTTTGAGTCTGCCTGGGATTTTGCTGTGGCTTCACTATGCGACCTCTCCATGTCTGGTCTGGAGCCTCACGAGCACCGGCTGCGTTCCTCCAGCTGTACACCCCAGGAATAGCCACCTATAACCCCAGCAGCAGCACACCTCCTCTGTGAGGTCAACCAGCAATAGCTCTGCATCCCAGCCCGCCTTGCAGTCCTGGTTTGGGCTGTGTCTGCTGCGCGGGTAAGAGATGTAGAAGAGCAAAGCAGTGCTTCTGGGAACGATGGGTGGGCAGGATGCCTGCAAGACTTCTTCACTCTTTTCCTCTGCTGCTACCATAGCATAGAAACCCTCCTCTGGCTTGCAGATGGGCCAGGCTGAGCAGTGACAGCGCGGCTCCTGCTTCCACCCAGGTTCAGTCTATCCCGGTGGTAAGGGTGATCGTTCGGGAGGACCCTGTCTTCATTCCAGTTTGTGGCTGACTGAAATAATGGAAGAAACACGGTGTGTGTTTATTGACTTTCTGAATGTGGTCTGTGGTTTCTGGGGTGTCTCCAGAGAGTCTTCCCTAAATTCATGTTGAAGGGAATTTGGGGGCATTCCTTCTATGACACTATCATTTTTTTATTCTCTTGGTGCCCAGATAACTCGTTACCTGGGTTGACTTCACTCAGGGGTGCTTGCTTGGATCAGCAGCCCAAAGAAAGTGTCCTTTGGCTTTGTATATGTGCATAGCAGCTATTCCCAGTCATGTCTGGCTGTCACCAATGTGGAGTCCCTGCAGCCAGCTCTCTGCTACAGGGTGATGCTGACCCAGCTGCAGTGGCACTGGCAAGCCCCTGTGTTAGCCCCGATGGCTGTGGACAAACCCACCCCTCTGTCCCATCCGTGCCAGGCCTGCCCGGCCTGGTGGAGCTGCACCTCTAGAAAGTCACTTCTGTTTAACCACCCACACCTGGAACAAGGAGCCCACCTCCAGGTACCCCAGTATGGGTACTGGAGAGGATTTTCCCTTCCACAGAACTGCTCCTAGCTTGTGGGTTGTTTTGGCTGGTTAGGCCCCATAGAAATCTTCCCTGTGTCTCTTGCCATGGGCACAAGGCTTTGGGGGTTCAACCCTCAGACCTCCCTGGTCCCTCTCTTTACCAGCAGGCACAGGGTTGCCGTATTCCTGCTCCTGTCCTGCACTGTCACCCAGCACAGCAGACGTTTTCACTTCCCAAAGCTAAAGGTTTATTCATCTCACTTTGAATGTACCATCCAGTCCAAAACAACCACTGAAGCACACTACCAGGGGCAGAGCAGCTCCAGAGATGTCGGCAGGTCATGGATTATTTAGCAGTATAAAAAGCCTCCAGGTCCCAAGAAATATTTAATCCCAAACCAACACCAGCAGTTGAAGGATCATGCTGGGCAACAGCAACGTGACCATGTCCTAAGGAAGATACCATGAAATGCTGGCAGATGTAGCCCCTCGCTCCCACCTGAGCCACTCACAGTCCCTGAGCCTTAACATCTCCTCGTAGGAGTCACAAAGCTGAAGAACCTCAGCAATGGCGTTCGGTTCTTCAGTACTGTTGTTCACCTCTATTGGCTCACAGATAAAAAACTGTCGATGCCCACCAAGGCCAGGCTCAGGCAGCAAGCATTTTGGCCCTGAAGGAAGCTGAAGTTAGACAGGAGGCTCAGAAACAACTCCTCACCAGCTATTCTTCTCTGTGAGCTCCTGTATAGGGTAACGAGGGGCTTAAGGGGTGACCCACGGCTCTCTGTGTCCTTGGGGCTTCACTGGGGGGTTCACGTACCCTGGCAAAATGCTTACAAAGCCAAAAGATCAGGTGCTGGGTTGGAGCGTGGTCTGCAGTGTCCAGAGTTTACTCTATACAGTTGTAAATGATGTAGATGGATTATAAGTTATTTGTATAGGTGTCAGAGATGATCTGTATCAGAAGGTGCAATCCTTTCCATGCCAATTAAAAAAAAAAAAACAAAGGAAGAAAAAAACCAGCAGAAACCATCAGTTTGGTTGTTTTTTTTAATGTTCGCCTGTAGCTGGGGTGGGTGGGGAATAAGCTGGCAGGAATGGAAAGACATCAGTGTTGTTTGGACCCCTGTGGCTGATTTTTTTCTCCTCCCCACCTTGGGGCTACATGCTATGTTATGCAGAGAGAGACTTCATGGCCAAAGAACTCCTTTGTGAAGGGATGGCAGAAATGGTTGAATTGCAGAAATTTGGAAGCAGGAGTCTGTAGCCCCTATGCCCACTGCCTCTCGATTCCCCTGGTCCCCTCAAAGTCTGTCACTTCAGAGCAACCCATTCCCTTAGCAGGGGCAGCGCTTGACCCAGCACACATAGGCTTGGGCTGGGAAAGGGGTGAAATGCTGGCTTTCTCCAAGCTGACCACAGGAGATGCTCATTGATAGAGCAGGAACAGTCCGTGAACTCGTGTTAATGAATTAGCATGGCTGTGAGAAAGAGAATTTCACAGGTTCTTTTATTTACCCCTTGAAACCAAAGGCAGCTAATGCAGATCACAGAGCATCAGGGACGCAGAGCAGTACAGGGACAGTGTTCAGGAACTTCTGGCTTCAGGGCTGCTCCATCTTCTGCATAGGGTCTGGAGGAACGTAGCAGGGGGACATGGATCTGGAGCCCAAGGCTGATGGGGAGCAGCTGGGGGAGCTGGAGGTGTTCAGCCTGGAGGAGGCTGAGGGGAGCCCTTATTGCTCCCTACAACTGCCTGACAGGACGGGGGAGCTGGGGGGGAATCAGGCTCTGCTCCCAGGGAATGGGTGTTGGGATGAGGTAAATGGCCTCAAGTTGTGCCAGGGCAGGTTTAGGTTGGACATTGGGAAAAATTCCTTCCCTGAAAGGGCTGTCAAGCACTGGAAGGGGCTGCCCAGGGAAGGGGTCGAGTCCCCATCCCTGGGGGTATTTAAAAGCCGGGCAGATGAGGTGCTTAGGGCCAGGGTTTAGTGGTGGGATGGCAGGGTTAGGGGAACAGTTGGGTTTGGTGATTCTATGATTCTATGACCTCAAGGGGATAAGGGTGGACACGATTGCCTGGGGCCTGGGAGAGCACAGGGAACCCGAGCACAGGGTGTGTGATAACTAACAGAGCCTGGAGGTCGCGCTTGCAGGCACAAACCCTCCTGGCACAGCTGTGTTAGCGGTTTTACCTGTCAGGATTCCCCACCTCCCTCACGCTCTTTGGAGAGAGTCCCGGCCTTTCAAAATCCCTCATAACACATTTATTTAAGCCATTATATCACGCTTATCTTTGTTATACCAAAATCGCCCCAGCTCTTTCTGCGTGCCCAGCTCGATGCCGAGCAGAGACACAAGCAGCTCTCCGGAGGGTGGTGGCTGGTGCTGAGCTGGCTTGGCCAGAGTCTGCGTGTGTCCCTGCGTGGTGGCCTGCTGTCACCCCAC